GGGGGGGTGATATGAATACACACCTGACGAAGTTGTACTGATCAGGGTCGTTCATGTTTTTAACACCACCGACCATGAAGTATTTTTGAAAGACCTGGTGGAAAACAGGTAAACACATTAGCAACATTGTCTTCTTCGCAACAAGTAACATTTGCAACACTTAAACACCCACACAACAAAACTTTGCAACACGTCAGATTTGCAACACTTAAACACACACAACACTATAAACTCGCAAAATTTAGCGTCTGCAACATTTACTTCATCTTTCACAAGACTGGGGTTATTCTGAGTGAGGGCTTTGTTGGTTTGTACTACATGTAGATACTGCATGTGGCGTCGGTAGCCTAGTGGTAGGTTACCGGACTCGTCATGATCGAGGGATCGCGAGTTCGGGGCTTCGAGCCTCAGCTTGGTCCGACGTTGTAGTCTTAGGAAAGGCATCATCATCATCACCATTGCCTTTCTCACCCTGCATCAGGGTATAGGCCACGGACAAACACCCTCCACTTTTCTCTATCCTGGGCTAGCCTCTTGATGTTATCCATGTCTTCCCACTTTTCTGTACATCGATTTCTGCGATTCTTCTCCAAGTTCCACGAGGTCTTCCCTTTGATCTTAGGAAAGGCACTTTACATGAAATTCCCACTTGGCTCTGTCCTTTCGGAGATGGACGTTAAACTCGGAGGTCCCGCCTAATAACCTACTAGTGTTGATAGGTGCAATAAACCTATACCATTTCACAATTGTTATTTCGAGATACTGAATTGAGAAAGTTATATTATTAGAATGTGAAAACCTTTGGACTAAAAGCATGATAGAGAAGGTACACGTAATAATAATAATAATTGCATTTATATAGCGCATATCCATGCTCAAGAGCATGCTCTATGCGCTTCACAACTATTATTACCCCAGCAGACCCTCTGAAAACACTCAGAAAACATTCTCAGCTTCCGCGGAAGCATACAGTGCAAGCTGCGGATTTCACGCGCTCAAACACTATCAAACTGACAAGATCTTTCACTGTCTATAGCTGGGTACCCAT